CAAAGCTCTGTTAGCAATGAGCAACTGGCACAACTCTCCCATCTCACCGCTTCTCTGACCCAACTACTTGAAAGCAGGCAGCAGCTTTCACAATTTTCGACTGCTGTTACTCCCTGTAGTTTGTCTAATCCACCTGACATAGCAGAACCTGTTCCTCCAGTTTCTGCTGCTATAATCCAGCTAAATCAAGCTCCTGAAGCACTAAAGCCATATGATCCTTTATGTAATAGCGTTGAGCCAAAGATGCCAAACTTGGGTAATCATTTGTTGAGTGTTGAGCAGAACATCTCAAAGAATGAAATACATAACAAGGATGACGTGACTCAGCAAGAGCCTCTTGCAGCATCCAAGGATGAGAAATATGGCAAAACAACAGATGAAGGAATAATTAAGGCACCGGAAAACGGGCCTTCTCAGGATATGGGTGCAGATGATGGAGCTGATGACGATAAAAAGTTGAAAGATACAAAGGGACTCCGTCAATTCAAATTTGCATTAGCAGAGTTTGTGAAGGAGCTTTTAAAGCCTTCATGGAAGGATGGTCATGTAAGCAAAGATGCCTACAAGACAATAGTGAAGAAAGTGGTTGACAAAGTTACAGAGACACTAGGGCCTCAAATTCCTCAAACGAAAGAGAAAATAGACATGTATCTGTCGTGCTCAAAGCAAAAAATTGACAAACTTGTACAGGTGAGTTTCTGTTTTCAAATTCACCTTTAGATCCTGCTATCATAGATATTGCAGAATCTCTTTCATAGAAGCAAAAGCTAGCGAAACTCAACTGAACCTAATTTGTGTTCTTGCAGGCATACGTTGGGAAACATCAAAAGAGCTAAATCTGACTAAAGGATTGCTGTATTGAATATGATTTTCCTGTACCATATTAGTGGTAGCTGGGTCTTTTAAAATTCTTGTACATTCATTTTATGCATTAGAGGTAATCCTTTTTCTGCATGTATTTTTGCTCTTTAGATAAATTAGCTAGCTTGTAATGTATGAGATAAATCTATGAATTTGATTTTGTTAGTTTGGCATTTCTTTGAGGTAGTCATTTATTGTTTTGGGCAATATGCCACTCAAGAATGTTTTGCTAGCACAGAATGCTGGGCAGTTTTCGACTTTGGACTCATGATCAAATGCAAGTGATATAGCTTTGTAACAATATAGCTGTGTTTTGTTTCGTCCTGCAGGCTGTAATTCATTACATAGGAGTGTAACTAAATGAAGTTATAGCATACCCATCTAATCATCTTCTATGCCTGATAGGTGGTCACTTCTGCAGTTTTGCGTTCAGGTAGAATATTACTTGGTCTGAAATCCGAAAGGTAGTGTTTCTACAACCTTAAATGGCTTAGTGAACTTGCATGGTTGAAGACATTCTAATCTGTTTGAGTTAGATAACTTGTATTGTTAACTTACTGCTTTTATGGTAGAATAATTGTTTGGTTCAAAAAAATTATATAGTCACAACTTTGACTTAAAGACAGGGGAAAATCACAAGAAACAAATTTAAGTATGGTTCAAGTACCTTACTGATTCAATTTATAAAGGTAAGAGACGTTAATTAAGAAAATGATAAAAATTGATCTCTTTCATGAGTTTGTAAGCAAATCTGATTGAATATAAATCCAATCAAGTTAAACTTTTGGTTAGGTCCGTCTTCAGGCAGGTCATCAATGTAAACTTTTGGTTTCTCCATGTGAAATATTTAGCCCTATGAATAAGGGGATACGCTATCAGAATCGAACTCGTGGAAACGGCCAAAGTTAAAATGGGGACGATAATAATGATTGCTCTCTTGCAACTCCAAAAATGTTGAACTAGATGTTGAGTAAGCTTAGGGTTCAACGACTTGCAAACAATTTTTTTGTTTAGAATTCTATCACATAACAAAGGGGCATCGTGGATGATGTCATGTGTGCAATCTTGAAGAAACAAACTTCCAGTTAAAGGGAGACAAATACATGCCTTCGATTCCCCAAAAAACCAATACCTTGGATTTTACTCATAGATTCATCACTTACCTATACTTAATTTATGTAGGGAATTGCTTTATAAATTACAAGCATTATTCAAGTATATGCTACTTGTAAATTATTCCTCTTAATCAAAGTAAGTTTACACTTGCATATACATGACCTTGGATTTTTTGGAATTGGAAATATAAAATACTTGTTGCCTTACATTAGCATGTGGAAGTTATACACATATAGTTTCTCCCTCATTTATTTATTACTTATAATGATGTACTCGTACAAAACTACAAATGTATTTATGTTAATCTTTCTTTAAGTGATAAGTATATGACTAATCTTGTTTAGTTTGTAACATCATAATAAAAAAAAACCCACGAGGTACATGCGTTGGTAAGGGTGAAAATAAAAGGTTGTTAGTTGTTCTTATATAATAAAGGTCAGTATGCAATATATTTGGCTTGGTTTGGATTTACTACATATTGTTCAAGTCAATGCATGTATGTAAAGCTGAATTTGATTTAGGCATTTATCAAGTGACGCAAAGGTTAATATCAAGGTTTTTGGGTTTCTTGAGAGGTCAAGACAATATTGATTAGGAATTGATCTGAGTTACTATTCTAGTTCATCATTGGTACAATCTATTATATGATGATCTCTCTAATTTCTTGTGGTGATATATTTTATTTTATGTCATTAACATATACAAAGTTTTTGTTATATATGCTAACAAATCATATAAATATCTAGGTTTAGGCCGTTAAGCATGACTTTCAAAGACTGAATCATACACTACAAGCTCCGATGACTTGATAAATGACTCCTTTTCAATTAAGAAACTCAGAGTTTGGGTCATTTTAGGTAAGTGTCCAATTTAGTTCAAGTTTGAATTATTTAGGGCATGTTCTCTTACGTTGAAATTCAGTTCGGTTCAGTTCAGCTCAGCTCCTAATTTCCTTCTCTTATAAAATATTCATTTCATTTCAGTTTAGTTTAGTTTAGTTTAGCTCAGTTCAGTTCAGTTCAGCTGAGTTCAGTCAATGAGAACATGCCCTTAGTTTCTATTTGATCAATTTATCACTTACTTGGTTGACAGTTACAAGATGCTTCATAGTTTTACATATTTTAGATCAAAACTGAGTCTAAATTTGGGTAATTTTATTCGAAATAGTCATTAAAATCACGAGGAATCTAATCGTAATTTTGAGATATTATTGAGTTCGAAAGACGGGTTCACCGGCTCGCCACTCAAGATGATATAAAGTTGTTCCAACACTTTGAAATTGTAGCCATAAGTACAATTTGTAAAAGGTCAATACCTATAGCTCAGAGCCTCAGACCCGTGAGCTAAACAAAATCAAGGAAAGCCTCAAATTCTTGAACACTGACTCACAATCAAAGTCAAGCATTTTAGCTCAGATTTACTTTGTTGAATTAAAAACATGTATACACTGCAAAATGCATGTTACTTTTTAACTCAGCTTTAAAATTGGAATTCATAAAGTATTTAATGCACATTAAGTTATAAGTACATAAAATAAATACTACAAAAAATAAATTGAGTAAAATTGATACTATAAGAATATAATCTTTAAAAAATTGAGCTATATTTTGATGAAAAGTTGTACATGAAAAAAATGCATCTTTGACTATAAAGTAGACAATCATACTAAGACAAAGGAAAATGGCTAAATTCATGAAACAAACTGATACAATACTTTAGTTGACTGTATGGGTCTTAAGCTAATTTTAGAGAAATTATTTATATTGTGAATTATAAGTCATGGTACAATTGTTAGAAAGAATGTCAAATGAACAAGTACATAACTTTGGATGAATGTATGAATTTATAAATTGGAGCAAACTTCATCATTCTCTTGCCAAAATCATGCAAGGAAATGATTAAATTGAAAGTTTGATCGATTTATTAATTAAGCATTCACTATCTTTTGACTAATTTAATTCAAAAAGAATAAATTGAGCTAAGTTATAAACCGGTTCTAGCAGTTTAGTGTTACTTATAGTTTGCATATTGGATTAAAGTAGTTTCCTTTTTTTTTTTTTTTTTTTTTTTTTTTGGGGTTGTTTATAAAAAATTTAATCTAATTCAAAATTTCATTTTACATACAATGCAACTTGTACGGTACAATATTTATAGTCTCAACGATAAAAACTCTAAAATAGTGGTGATACCAAACAAATTCATCAACATAAAAATCAAGTTTCGTATACGGAATAATAACTTTAACAACAGTTAACCAAATTAACCAATTCCAATCCAATGCTTTATCACCATATATCACTCAACTCAGTCATATACTAACTTTCAAACCCAAAAACGATATGAAAACAAAAATAAATAAATAATAATCTTAACCCCTCAAATTTTTAATCAATAGAAAAATGAAAAAAAATATAGTTAAAATTATAGAGAAAAAAATAGGGAAAATAGGAGTGATGAGCCATTAAAAAATGTAATGATTCAAAGGGTGATGTGCAAATGGTTGCAGTGCAATTCTCCACACGTAATCTTTTCACAACCAGCCATTTTCAATTTTTCATGCATCTCTCTTATCATAGCGTGCGTTTCTTCTTTGCATGCTCATGTTTTTTATTTTATACTATAGTTTTCATCATTAGCTCTTTTCCAAATTATATTTACTACTATATAGTATATATACAAATATATATAGTTTATATAATATAAATCATTTTTCATAAAACTAAAATAAATTAAAGTCTCACGTCACTAAATTTTATTCCCGGAGAACTCATTTTCCGGCAACTTGCAAACACTTAATTTGTTACATATTATACGTATATGTAATGAGTCTATATTTATATATTCTCAATTTGAGCTTATATTATACATCTACATGATTATATTATATAGTTTGCCATGAAAAAAGGGTAGACGGACCAATCTTCATAGCCTGAAACTAACTGTCCTATGACCATTACTTTTGGCGCCATATATCTTGGTCAATCATATCCTAACAAACTTTTTTTCTTCTTCATTCTGTTTTTCTTAAATTCTCACATGCATTGTCCAAAGATACAAATTAAATTAATTAACTACAAATTAGTACATGTATAAGTACACCTATGCAAACGCGCACATACACGCGCATACATACACACGTAGGGTACATACATACATGTCATTAGAATAGAACAATTTCGAGTTAACTACAATGCTAGTACATCCTATTACTTATTGTTTAATTATTGACAATAGCATTATAGTTATTTCTCAATAATAATGCTAATGATTTTATCTATTACAACAATGCAACATAGGTACGTACATACATATACCCTAGGGATTACATATATAATCAATTTTGATATTAAACTAATCAATCAATTAATTAATTAATTAATTAATTAATTACCTCCATGTTGAAAAATCATCCCCTCATGATGATGATTACCGTTTTTATTATTATCCCTAAAAAGCACCACTTTTGAGCTCCCGGGGCTAGAGTAGGGACTAAAGAGTGAGGCTGAGACCGAGGGAGGCGGTGGCCAATCGGAAGGCGACAAGGTGGGGACGGGTGGTGGTTGGTGATTGGAGGATCCGGATTGAAGTTGACGGATTTGTCTCTTAAGAAACTTAACATAACGAATAGCCTCATCAAGCATAGAGGCAGTATCCATTTTAACACCACCGGGTACTAACCGTTGGAGGATCCGAATCTTTTCGGATATCCGTTCCCTCCTATGTCGGGCTGCCACGCTTTGCGGGTCATTACTGATCCGAACATTTCTTCTCTTTGGCTTACGGATAGCTGCCGGGTCAATATCCACGGGTTGCATAACCGCGATCCGGTACATCATTTCTTTCATAGCTCCTAGCTCCTCTTCTTCCTCAAACTCATGCTCATCTTCCTCTATTATAATTTGTTCTTGTATGTTTGTTTGTTTGATGATGTATGATGATGATGATGATGATGATGATGATAAAATGGATGGTTGAGATGAGTGTGGTGTAGGAAGATTATGGTAGGTTTGCCATACCGGATTATTATTATCATGTATAAATGGATGAACATGATGATTATGATGTTCATGTTCATGTTGATGATGATGATCCATGTCCATGGAAAGGTTAAGGCTTTTCTCCCAATGGATGATGGTGGAGTTGTGGTTTATGTGGAGTTTATTATTATTATTATGTATGTGGTTGATGTCCATGACATGAGTAAAATATAATGAAGGTTTATGTGATTTTGGAGTGGAGAAAAATAATAAAAAGAGAGGAAAGAATGAATTGCAAACCCTATTTAATGAAGTGCTTAAAAAGGTGGCCTTACCATCCTATGCATAAATTTCAACACATTATGATCTTTCTATTCAAGGACATATGATTAGGGTTTGACGTATGTATACTCCAATAGCCTTTTACGGGTTGTCAAAAATAAGTTTATATTCGTTATATATTTTGCACCTCTTATATTAATTACACGTGAAAACATCCGTATTTATAAAATTAAATATAATTTTAATGATATTAGATTTTAGCCGACTAGAAGTGGGAGGATGCAACGCGTGATATCTCTTAACTTAGCTTCTCTAGTGAGGAATACGTACTACATATATAATATCAAGTTGGCTTTAGCCGTTACATTACTAGTAAAATTGCAATGTAGGTGTGGACGCGTGGCGCTAAGCCAAACATATAATAAATATCTAGTATTTTGAATGCAATAATTTGGAATAAAAATAATACGGAGTACTAATTTTATTATTTAAAGAGTAAACTAAAGTTATTTAAAATTATGTGTAAGATTGAATTTTTTTTAAAAAGGGGTGAATCATATACTCTCAAAACATTATAATGTGAGTAGAAAGTTTTAATTTTAACAACAAAAGGACGACAACTCATACAAAAATGATTTAAAGTTTAAATTAATTACTTCATATATTGTAGATGGGTTGCATACTTGTGTTACACATTATAGATTCCGATCCATCTAAAATGACTTCAAAAATGCTGATGATAGATAAATAAATAAGATCGATCAACTTTTAATCCAAAAGGTATAAAATTCAATGGCCACAACAAAATAAAATTAATTACTGTAGCAAAACTAGTATAATAATTAATAATGGTTTAAAACAATAATAAAACTACACCCTTTCAACGTAACACTTATAGGGTTTGTTCATACACATGCACAAGGAATACTCCCTCCTTCGAAAATTAATGATTTCATTTTTATTTTTTTTGAAACATTAATGATTTCATTTTTCTATTTCAAATGTGTATAGTAAAATTAAAAGTTTTTATACTCGGTACTTTGTCGTATAAATTTTTATTCATACACGGTACTTTGAATTGCTTTATGTTTTCAAGATTAAACAATTTTCATTTCTCTCTTATATATTTTCCAATCAATTCTTTACATTATTTTGAAATGAATGGAATATTAATTAAAAAGAACAAATATATTGCAACCATAATGATATGAAAAATTTGTCAATTACTACCGCAAGTTAATACCACTTTGTAAATTACTACCGCAAATTAAAAAACTTGTGAATTATTATCGCAAAAATTTTTAAGATGTTGTGATTACTACCAAACCCCCATTAAACCCAACTATGACGTCATTATATCACTTTAACGGGGGATTAATGGGGGTTAAAGAGCTATAATGACGTCATAGTTGGGTTTAATGGGGGTTTGGTAGTAATCGCAACATCTTAAAAAATTTGCGGTAATAATTCACAACTTTTTTTAATTTGCGGTAGTAATTTACAAAGTGGTATTAACTTGCGGTAGTAATTGGCAAATATTTCTAATGATATTAATCATACTAATATGAAACTGAAACTCATGCCTAGTTTGCTCCATCCCAAGTTAGCCAAACATAGCATATGGCACTATGAAAAGACAATGATGCCCCTCTTCTTTTTATTACTTTAACACAAATTTCTCTCCCAAATCCCAACACATTTGAGAGGTAAAAAAAATGGATGGTTAAAAACTAAAGTTTTGAGTTATGACAATAAATTCTGTACAGAAAAGGGGATTTTGGTAGTGATAAGTACTAAATAGAAATGATTAAGCTAGGGAAAGTGGAACTATTAAGAAAAGCTATACATACACAACTAGATTACTAGTAGCAATTGTACAAGAAAGAGAGGAATCGGAAATCTTAATTTTACTATGGTAGAGAGGTCACCCGCTTTTATTGCAAGTAACGTTTAATAAGGAGTCTAGCTATTACCAAGATTGAGGGGACGAAAAAAGAAATAATAATAATCCTAAAGTCTTATATAGATGAAACGTATGCCTCGTGTTTAGCCTATATAATAATTACTTTGTATGTAACAAAGTCATCCTATATTACATAACAATTCAACCCTGAATAAATGAATCAATCAATCTTCTTAACATCACAGTTCAACTTCCACTTTAGATTTGAATTAGGTACTAGTAATGCACCAAAATGTTGAGAATTGCGATGAAACTAAGATAGTCTCATATATGAACTAATTAAGTTGTTACAAATAACAAACTAGGGATTATAGGGTTTTAACCCTAATTAAGTAATTAATTAGATATTTTTCTTCCTAGGGAATCAAAAGTAAAAAGGATTTTGCCCAAAAAGAATTATTAATACGGATTCATACCAATTAAAATAATATTAAAACTAGTTATTATTTTTATTAGAAGTCACTTGTATATTGGGCAACACTATTTATAAGTTTTTACTAAAACAAAACTATTCTTACTTAATAATATTTCTTTAAGTTGTAGAAGGCACATAAAAGTGATTTTAAAAAAAAAACAATAAACAAAAGTGATATCAAATACTCATAATTTAAATAGTTTTTTTTTTTTAAAAAAAAAAATAGTTCACTATAGTAAATGTACATTGTATTTACCTAGCTAATTTATTTAGAATCAATCTTAAATTTTACTTGTCTAAACTTAACAAAACTTATCCAAACTTATTCTAGTTGCAAATCAAAATGAGTAGTTATACTACCATTATTATTTTTTTTTCTAAATTTAGTTTATCGAAACTTATATACTACTATTAAAATTAAAGTATAGTGCTATTTGTTTATATATTGAAGCTAACTTAACTTTATATATTGAAGCTTAGTTTACAACTTGATGATAAGCTATTTGTTTTCCCATCATGCCTTCCTCCCTTTAATGTCTCATTTTTCTAACGTTTTGTCATTATTATTTGATAAATTAAAATTTTAACATTTTGTTTATACATGTATAGAAGTTGTACCATTTGTTTTATCGAAAAGACAATAATCGGTTTGGTAATGATTGGCAAGTGACATATATTAGCATCCGATCAATAATTATTCAACTGTTAATCTTATATGGATTTTTTTTTTTAATACTACATATTTTGTAAAGTTCAGGAAGAATTTCACATAACAAATAAAAATTAAAAAAGGTTCGAGATAAAATAAAAGTAAAAAAAAAAATAAAAAAAAAAAAACAAATGTGTGCTGATCATTGTGCTACGTTGTTTGCGATCTGGATCTCGAAGAAGTTAGTACGATTCAGTACTTAATACTTATATATGTTATGGGTTGACTTGCAATACACAGCATTTATTATTTATATTCTGTGAGAGATTGCAATAATAATACTTCTAATAAATTGTTGCATAATAATAATTATACATGACCAAAGCTGCTTATTTACAATTTTGCCATTTGATAAACAAATTTTGTTTATCATATTGATAAACTTGGATTTTCTCTCATATAATCATATATATATATAATATGCATATATACTAGTATTATAGAGTGAAGCTCTAACCACCGTCCTGAGCTATCACTCACTCTCTTTCATCCCTTTATCGAAACTTGCAGTATACTCATATCCTAATTCACTAATCTATCTACGGATATGATATGGATGTTATGGTGGCCTGGTAAATAATCACAAACTATAAACATGCTAGAAATTGTGACAATTTTTCCAAATAACCTAAAATTAGACTCCATATCCTTCTATATATATATTGTATTAGAATTATTTCAATTGGTTGCAACCTTAATTCGGTTCCAAAACAACCCTAGTTGGTTTTGCATGAAGTCCCTCCCAGCATAAATGGATTGGATCATTGGAGAGCTAGAAAACACAAAAAATTATTTACTACTTTTACCCGAGATTTGATTTGCATTAATTTATTGCTAGTTCCTAAAATAATTCATTAAAAAAAAAACCTTAAACCGTTTTGACATATTGTTGGACAAACATGTGCATAAAGAAAAGAATTGCTTTGTCAAATTAAATATCGAGATGTTTTGAGGCATTATTTACTATTTCTTCAAAGTTTGAAATTTTATACTAATCAACAAAGGAGCTAACTGTGACTTAATTTTGCGTTGTGATTAAGCTATAATAAGGTCCTACTACAATTAAAAAGTTAATAAGCTAAGAAAAAGTAGGTCACTATTTTACAATCAAAATTAAAACTTAATTGGTGTGTAGTTCCATATAAAGTGAATAACTCAACTTGCCTTCAAAAAAAAAAAAAAAAAGTGAATAACTCAACTACACATCTTAACCCCTCATGTGTTCCCGGCCCTCAATTTAACTTTGACTAGTCAAACCTCTTTAAAATAGGGAAAGAATAATACGGAGTAAGAAAATCTCCTATTAAATGGAAGGTCTTTGCTATGAGTCTATGACCTTTAAATCAAATTAAAACAACTTCTACAAAGTGCATGATACAACTTATTTTGATCAATCAAAGACGTACTTAGAATATTATTTTTAAGAGATCGAAAACTCTGAATTTGTTTTAATTATCTTTAGCTCCATACTAGTAAAAATAGTACGAAGTCGTACATTATGGAGAGATCAGGTTGCTCCCGTCCCCTTCTGCCCATGATTATGTGATGTATTACGTTAAGGAAGCTAAAATTTGATGATTTTGGTTTTAGACTTAATTTCCTTATTAGTTTTAGAACTAGATAAGACTTAAAACTTTTGTGTACTCAGTGTAAGATTCATAGTTGTAACATACAAAGTATTCATCTATCAATGGAGGAATATCTTTCCTTAATTTTCTAAACATTAGCCATCACATCAACATCAATCAATCATTGACAACATACACATTATCAAATCATATGATATAACATCACGACATTATTGTGTTAAATAATAATAATAATATATTAATGTTTCATGTTAATTCTACGTGTGATCAACAATTTTATTA